AAAAAAAAAAAAGAAACCCCTGTTGCCCCCTCTTTTTTTCTTTTCTTTTTTTTTTACTCAAACATTTTTATGATGATTTAGATGGAAGTTGTTCTTTGTCAGTTAATGTTGGTTCTAGTCCTTCAGTCTCCAACTGGGTTCCAGTCCATTCAGCTGGAATGCATAACATTCACTGTAGTAACCCTTCTTCAAGTTGGAGGGGGGAGGGTGGAAACACAGTTTAGCCATGTCCTCAAGATAAAGTTTTGGTAAAAATAAATAAGTGTTCTTTAGTAAAAAAACAAAACAAGTAAAACTACCATGTGATCCAGCAACTCCACTCCTAAGCATATACCCAAAAGAATTGAAAGCAAGGACTTGAACAGATACTCACACACCATGTTCTTAGCTGCATTATTCACAATAGCCAAAAGGTGGAAACAGCCAAAATGTCTACCAACAGATGAATGGATAAACACAACGTGGTCTTGCTATACAGTGGAACATTATTCAGCCTTAAGATGGAATGAAGTTCTGACGTATGTGACAACATGGATGAGCCTTGAAAACATACTGTGAAAGGAACCAGACACAAAAGGACAAATACTGGATGTTTCCTCTTATATGAGCTTCCTAGAGTGGTCCAATTCATAGAGACAGAAAGGAGAAGGGTGGTTGCCAGGGGCTGGGGAGAGGAAGGGATGGGAGTTGTTTAAGGGGACAGAACTTCTGTCTGGGATGATGAAAAAGTTTGCAAACAGACAGTGATGATGGTTGCACGACATTGTGAATGTACTTAATGCCACTAACTGTACATTAAAAAATGGTTAAAATTGCAAATTTTATGTTACATATTTTCATCACAACTTAAAAAATTCTTAAAACACCCTAGGTTTAAAGTCTAAAAGGTTTCTCTCGTTAAATATAAAATGAGAATATTAAATGATAACAAAATAAAATAAATAAATGAAAATAACAAAGGGAGAATCCAGAGGATCAGGAAGAGGACGGATAGTGTAGAGGTGGGCGAGTTTTAGAAAGTATCTATGGAGGAGGTGGAGGAGGAGACTTTGGGAGCAAAGATTCAGTAGCAGGGCTGTGAGGGCTGAATGGGTTATTTTGAGGAACCCATGTGGCTGAAACCTGCGACCGCATAGAGAAGAGCAGGAGATTCAAGGTGGAAAGCTCTGACCATCACTGAAGATTCTGTGAGCAGTGAGTAGCCCGGCAGGGAGGGTTTCAAGCTGAGGAGTCACAGAATCAGAACTGCATTCTACATCAGTGGGTCGCAAACTCCAGCCTGCATCAGAATCACCTGGAGGGCTTGTTTAAACACAGCTTGTTGGCCGGGTGTGGTGGCTCACACCTGTAATCCCGGCACTTTGGGAGGCTGAGGTGGGCGGATCATTTGAGGTCAGGAGTTCGAGACCAGCCTGGCCAACACGGTGAAACCCCGTCTCAAAACAACAACAACAACAACAACAACAAAACACAGTTTGCTGGGCTCCACCTCCCCCTGTTTCTCATTAGCAGGATATGGGGCTGGTGGTGGGATGGCAGTGGGACAGGTAGTGGGATGTTGAACTCCTCTCTCTTCTCCTAGACACCACCACACGTCTCCTGCTGGGTGCCATTGCGGTCCTTCTGTTCGCCATCTTGGTGGTGATGAGCATCTTGGGTGAGCATGCATGTCAGAGCATTTATGCAATTCAATTTGCACACTCCTTGTTAAAAGCACATCTAATTAGTTAAAGAAAGATTCTAGACGTTCCAAGAATCCTGTGGGGGACTAAGTAAGTAGAAAATACATAGTGTCAGTTGTTGAGATTTTAGCTTAAAATAATATATTCACACACAGACTATACATGTCCCCTTTATTAAGCCATGCAAGTAGAGTGGAGATGTTACTTAGGTATTATTTTTTAAGTGCTGTGAGAACTCGGAACAAACTTGGGGTAGGTTAGGAAGACAGTGCTTCTTGGAGGAGATGGTTTGGGAATAAGGATCATATTCAGTCAGGCACAGTGGCTCACGCCTGTAATCCCAGCACTTTGGGAAGCTGAAGTGGGTGGATCACCTGAGGTCAGGAGTTTGAGACCAGCCTGGCCAACATGGTGAAACCTCGTCTCTACTAAAAGTACAAAAATTAGCTAGCTGTGGTGGTGGGTGCCTGTAACCCCAGCTAGTCGGAGGCTGAGGCAGGAGAATTGCTGGAACCTGGGAGGCAGAGGTTGCAGTGAACTGAGATCGCACCACTGCACTCTACCCTGGGCGACAGAGAGAGAGAGACTCCATCTCAAAAAAAACAAAAAACAAAAAAAAAAAAACCCACACATCACATTCAGTCAGCAAACATTTATTGAGTGCTGCTGTGTGCTAAGCTCTGGGCTAAGTGCTAGGGTTAAAAAGAAGACGAATATGACACTGTCTTCTGTGTCCAGGGGTAAGTGCAATAATAGAGATATTACTGCCCAGTGGCTTCCCAGAAGGAAAACACATGTGCAATGAACCCTGAAGAATGAATAGGAGCTTCCCAGAGATTAGGAGGTAGAGAGTGCTAGGGAGGAAAAAGCTTTTCCTCTGCCCTCTTAAGTTCAGTGTCTAGGGGCCTGTAAATTAAACTATCAAAGACAAATTAGCAGGAGAAAAGGTACCTAATGTTTCTTAATATTTATGTTCATGGGATTTCACAGATAATAAGTGAAATTCAAAGAAGAATTTAGACTCAGGGGCTTACACACCTTTTTAACAAAGGAAAGAGGGCTTGGGTTTCAAGAGCTGGTAAATTAAGGGAAGTGACTAGGAAATACACGGAGGAACATTAGGAGATAAAGGCTATTTTAGTAAGCTTTGCTTATGCAAACTAATCTTGGTGTTGATTCCTTGGCATGTTTGATGATGAGTTTAGGGTGGGCAGTGGGGGTATGGGAGGGTATGGGGTGAGGGATGGGGAGTAGGGCAGCTCCCTCCCCAAAGGGAAATTTATGCCCTACTTTCTGGCAGATGAGAGGGTAGAGAACTCTTCCTGTTGATTCTGAATTGCCTTCAGCTTAAAATGATCCATATGTCAAAGTGGCATATTTTAGGGTGGCATATTCTGGACCCTATCAAGGGAATAGAACATTCTAAGTGGGAGAGGCCTGAGAAACAGAGAGAGTGTGTGGAACTGACAGGGTTGGATAAATGAAAAAGGTAGAAACTGCAACTAAGAACGTGTGAGGCTATATGAACAGGGAATCTGATTACTTTTAAGAGATTCAAATACAAGTGTATTGTAGGTTCTGAAGGGTTTCCAAAAATGATATTAGTGCCTCTGTCTTTAATCTTTGAGAAATGCCGTAAGACCAGAGGTGGAATCCATAAAATGGGGGGAAATTCCACCAAGATTATCAATTCCTACCAAACCCTCCCCTATAGGGCTTGTATGACAAGGACAGGGGTTCTGAGTGTTTAGAAATGGATATGGCAGCTGGGTGCAGTGGCTCAAGCCTGTAATCCCAGCACTTTGGGAGGCCAAGGTGGGTTGATTACTTGAGGTCAGGAGTTCGAGACCAGCCTGGCCAACATGGTGAAACCCTGTCTCTACAAAAAAATACAAAAATTAGCTGGGCATGGTTGTGTGCACCTGTAGTCCCAGCTACTCGGGAGGCTGAGGAAGAAGAATCGCTTGAATCTGGGAGGCAGAGGTTGCAGTGAGCTGAGATTGTGCCACTGCACTCCATCCTGAGCGACAGAAGAGACTCTGTCTTAAAAAAAACAAACAAAAAATAAGGGTAACCACTGGGCCTAGCTTAAATTCACCTAGAATAATTCCTACAAATTAAATCAGTTTTCTTTTATCCTCTTACATCAGTTTTCTTTTATCCTCTTACTAGGTTGGGAGGCCAGAGGATGTGTAGACATAGCTAATACGATTTCAATAAAGCACAACAGTCTCTTAGGAGATCCTTGCGGAAAAGCAGTTGAGATGTGAGATGTAACCACACCATGGTCAGTACTCCCAGGTGGACTTGCATCTCATTGAACAGATATATATGCCCAGGGGGTGTCGATGAATGAATTGGTATCTGTGTGGCTGGAGATCCCTAGGGGCTTGAGTACCAGAGGCCTGTTCTTGGCTCTGTCCTGGTCTACATTTTAATCAATCACTTGTATGAAAACAAACAAAAAGTATGCTTATGGAATTTGCAGCTGACACAATCCAAAAACACAATCCCACATGACAGATGGGTGAAAGAAATCAAGATTAAAATGTATCTTGAAAAACTCAAATGATGAGCCAGAGTGAATGAGATAAATGTGGAAGAAATAAATATAAGGTTCTGCATTTGGATTTAAGAAGTTATTTTCACATGTTCTGACACTGGGGGAGACCTGGCTTAGAATCAGATCATATGAAAACAATCTAAGATTGTGGATTAATTCCATTTGGCAAGGAGGCCCTTTGAGAAGCTCCGGGCTCCCTTCCCAGAAAAGTCCATGTATGCACATACCCGCCGATCTGTTCACGGAAGCAGTCTGCAGACTGGAGATCCCATGACAACTGGAAGACAGCATGATGGTCACTGTCGCTGCTGGTAGAGCCACATCTGATGTGTCCCGGTCTGTCCTGGTGGCAGTGATTCAGTGGTAACCTGGGGACATTGCAGTGAGCAGGCAGGATGGAGAGCAACCCTTGCCAGGAATCTCGGGAGAGATGGCATCTGTTTCAACCTGGATGAGGCAGGCTGGTGTGCTTCTTTGAGTAGGGGGTAGAAGACAGAACGGGTGTCTCTGGGTCACTCCGGAGGCTAGATCCTAGACCAGCAGGTCTCGGTCACAGGGGTACAGGTTGGGACTCAACATTTAAGAACTTTCCATGCACACTAACAGCAAGGGGGTTAAGAAAATAAAAAATGCAAAGAACTTCCCAGCAGTTCAGTGGTGGAATGGCAGCCTTGGTAGCTAATGTGGGCATGGTTAATGATAGCGGGCAGTCTGTCCTGCTGTTGGTACCTGGCCTAGCTGGAAAGAGAGGACACGTAGCTGCCAGGTCTCTTCCCAGTCTGAGTTTCTGGCGTTCCATGCCTCTGGGAGTTTGGAGACAGAGGAGATCCTAACCCAGTGGCTGCGCCGCTGTCATGTCCCCTTGCGGTGACGCCTGCCAGGCTTCCCACTGTCCCCTTTCTCATTCATTTAGTGGCCACCCTTTTACCTCCAGGCACCAGGAGAGGTGCTTACCGGAGAGGACAGCCACGCCTGCAGTGTCCCTGGAGGATGCCAAAGCTGAGGCAGGGGAGGGGGCCACAGAAAGCAGAGTGGGACTCTGGCTGGGGAGTGGGGCGGGCAGGGCCAAGCCGGTCTCTTCCCTGCAGCTTCCAAGGGCTGCATCAAGTGTGAAGCGCCCTGCCCAGAGGACTGGCTACTCTACGGAAGGAAGTGTTACTTCTTTTCTGAGGAACCCAGAGACTGGAACACAGGCAGGCAGTACTGCCACACCCACGAGGCAGTGCTGGCTGTGATTCAGAGCCAGAAGGAGCTGGTGAGTGTGCCGAGGTGAAGGGCGGTGGGGGAAGGGATCTTCAGGGCCCCCAACCTTGACTCTAGGGGACAGTCACACCCTAAAGGATGCCGTGTTCCCTGTGACCCATCTCCAAAGCCACCACCTGCTGCATAACCACTGGGGGTGCAGGAAGACTTCATGGTCTGAGCACGTCAATGAGTGGCTCCAGTTTCCACTTCCATTGTCAAGGCCACCTATTTCAATCCAAGGCCCACTGGTTGAGGTCACTTAGCATTATAAACCATAAGAATGACCAATTATAAAGTTGGTGATGTGGTATACACCTCTAGTACCAGCTACTCGGGAGGCTGAGGCAGGAGGATCACTTGAGCCCAGGAGTTGGAAGTTAGTCTGGGCAACACAGTAAGACCCTAGCTCTACAAAAAGTAAAAGGAAAATTAGCTGGGCATGATGGAGCGTGCCTGTAGTCCCAGCTACTTAGGAGGCTGAGGCAGGAGGATCACTTGAACCCAGGAGTTCAAGGCCAGCCTGGGTAACATAGCAAGACTTTGTCTCTCTTTTTTTTTTTTTTTGAGGCAGTCTTACTCTGTCGCCCAGGCTGGAGTACAGTGGTGCCATCTCGGCTCACTGCAGCCTCCGCCTCCTGGGTTCAAGCGATTCTCATCCTCTTGAGTCCCCGGGACTGCAGCCGTGCGCCACCACGCCTGGCTACTTTTTGTATTTTTAGTAGAGACGGGGTTTCACCATGTTGGCCAGGCTGGGCTCGAACTCCTGGCCTCAAGTGATCCACCTGCCTAGGCCTCCCAAAGTGCTGGGATTACAGGTGTGAGCTACTGTGCC